TACCAGAAAAATATCTGAATTTATGTAATTTTAATTTATTTTTAATTAAACATCGAAAACCAGAGACATATGTTTCATGATTAAAAAAGACTACCATGAAAAAGGCGGGCTTAGGGCGAGCACCTCTACGGGGAAAAAAAGGGGTAGGGGTTAATTATAGCGCCACTTCGTGTCGGACCCTAAACCCTAAACTTTTAGGGCTTGCGCCACTTCTGCGACACGAAATGACATTATAGAAGATAATTACGGGAAATAGATACGAACTCTTTACAATATTCACGTTCCATTTGGCTGTCCATTTCATTAAAGAGGCCTAGGCAAAACCAGAAACCTTAAATTTCCAGAGGCCCCGAAAAAAGCAGGAGCCTTGAAATTTGCAATTTGCATTTAAATTCCCAGAGGCCCGGAAAAGACCAGGAACCTTAAAACTTGCAATTTGCAGAGGCCAGAAACCTTAAAGCCTTGAGCTTGTAGAGAGGCAAAATTTTTTAAAACCTTAAAATTTCAAGGTTTGCCTAAAAACCGCGAACAAACAAACAAAAGGATGGAGTGTAGGACGCGACTAAAAATTTTTAACTAAAAATTAAAAGAATAGAGTATAGGGCGTAATAGGTATTTAAAAAAATTGCTTAGTCCTCTATTTTACTTACTTTTAGTTATGGCCGGGGATTTATTAAGATGCCACTTCGTATCGAACCCTAAACCCTCAAGAACCTGTAAATAGAAATTATATAAGGTTAAACCCTAGAAGCAAAAAATCCAAAACACAAATTTATTAAGATTTTTTTTTTTTTTTCCCTAAACCCTATATAGCTTCTATAAACCCTAAACTAAGAGGGATTAATGTAGCCAGCGTTAGAAAGGGCAAATAAAAATCATCCTAATGCTAATTATGGCTAAATTGCTGTGCTTTTTTTTAAGGTATAATTTGTAGTTACTATTACTGTGCCGAGACAAAACCCAATTTATACACCTAGATACCGTGCACCTAGGTTCTAGTTTCATGTAAAATGTACAATATAGTTTGATGTTAATCAGCTTAAATTGGTCCACATTCCCCCCTTATATTCCGCCATAGCGTTTGCGACCCTAAATTTAATACTTCACTAAGATTTCATTACCTTCATTTCATAAGCATTATTCATCTTGCTTGATTCCCGTTCTTTTTGATTTTTTTAAATTCAATGGGTAAAAATAAATTTCATTCATTTCCACCAAACACCTCACCTTTTTTAAAAGAAACCCTAGTGGCACCCAGGCGTCTGAACACCCTAAAACAGTAATATTTAATTTCATTCGCGAAATTTGTCATATTTTCCCCCTTCTTGCTGAACCCTGTCAAAGGCACACCAAACTTTATCCACTTCTTTTCCACGAATTTTCAATATATATATATATATGTATTCCTCCAGTTTTCTTTTCAAGTTTCTCTCAGGAAAACCGGTTCAAAATCAAGCACTTACCTTTTCTCACGATGCATGGTTGGATTCGTGGCTGTGCTTGGGCGTATACATTGCCCGAGTGAAACGTATCTTGAACAGCTTCTTGGTTCACTGTTTCTTCACCCGCTGTGTGCACAACCTGCTGGACAAGAGTGTCAACGCAGTGTCAAGTCTCATATCTTGTGAGTGATGCACGGTCATGCCACAGCGACATCCACTCTACATTTACTCCAAAGATGGAATTCGGTGAAACTATTGGGAACCCTTACTCTCAATTGGTTTCACCTCAGCCACAGAAGGGCAAAACAAGTGGAACGCTAGGCGTAACGCTGCACTCACGCTGATGGCAATGTGAAGCCATAGCAATCTGTCCTTAAAACTGGAGGGAAAAACACAAACTTGAAGTGTGGTCAAAACAGTTGTTTCTCGACCCAAACTCAGAGGCGGCAAAAAAAACAAAAATACATCATAAGGTCGTAACATTGACATCAGTTTGAAGCCCTGCATGTTTAAAAGCTGCTCAAAACAAAACACCAAGTGATGGGTTCATCCGTGTCGCGAAGGCTTGCCGACATCTTTTCTTCTCTAATCCAACTTCCATCCTGCAAATCCGCGATGAGCAAACTGGCAAACCACAATGCTGCAAAGGCAAGTTGAGACGGTGGTGTGCAAGGGGTTGGGTGAGGTGTTGTGAAAGAAAACAATTGGACAAACTCACCTGACCAGCGATTGACAAAAGAGTGAAAAGTGAAAAGGTAGCAAAGACATTGCAACGCAAAGCGCTGAGCCGAGTGAACAAAAACTGATAAATTGAAATACAACTAGCAAACGAGTTGGTGGCATAAACAGCGGCTTGTCCTGTTGGCTAAAAATATCAATTTTGGAAGGCGCAATGGATAGTTCCTCCTTCTTGATTGCCTCACGGCAAAACGACAATCGCCGGAAACCAAACACTAAATCGGTTTAGTCAAAGCATCAAGTTTGATTGAACAACAACAAGCTCTGAGCTCTGGACTTTCTTCAAGTAGGCAATATTGGAGTGCACTGGGTCAATTGGGAAAGCGTTGCCAATCTGCTCGAATGTATCACCGTCCTGCAATTGCAACAGGGGGGTGGGCGACAGCCAATGGCTGCGCCTTTCGATAAGCAAGTGCAAATGAAAAATGCGCATGACAAGGAATGCAATGCGTTACGCAAGAATTTTGACCTTGGGATGTGAAAATGGCTGAGGGAAATTTCTTCATGAAGTTTCAGCTGACCAAACCACTTCTGTCCTTAACCTACCACTAGTCAAAGGAACAAAGGCATAAGCTGCTGCATTGACTTTTGCAAATTACAAGCCTTTGATGCTTGAGTGGGAGAACTGACGGAGCACAACCCTACTTTTATTCACACGACCAATCAACACCGGTTTTCGCACAGGAACTTTGCAGAGGAAGAAACAAAACAACCATAGGGATGTAAAAACAAGGTTGCTTGTTCAACAGATGCAACTTTCAACTGTCAACGTCTGTTGAGGTGGTACTTTTTGGCTTTTCGTCAAAAAGTTCTTCCTACACCTGTCAAAAGGGCATAGCAAAGGAACAAGGGCATGGCAAAACATCATACAAAGTCTTAGACTAAATCCTCTCTATCAAATTGAGGAAAATGTTGAGAACATATCATTCAACAAATCCTGAGGAATAAATACGCTACTGCTAGTATTTTATGCGACCAATCAGCATTGCTTTTAGCACACGAGCCGTGCAAATCAACACATGAAAGGAACTAGGGATGACAAGGCTGCTTGTTCACCACTTGCTGTACCACTCAAAAGGCGAGATGTTGAGGTGGGAACAGTCAAAAAGAACATAGCAAAGGAACAAGGGCATACAAAGTCTTTAGTCTAAATCCTCTCTATCGATTGAAGGAAGATTATCAAAATACATGTTTAACAAATCCAAAGGAATGAACAACCCTGCAATCTTCTTACTGTTACTAGTAGTAAGGCACCTGTTACTACTAGCGTGGCACCTGGTACTACTAGCGTGGCACCTGTTACTACTAGCGTCCTTGTTACTACTA